AATCACGAATGTTTGTAAATTGTAACTTTGGATTAATTTGAGCTATTCCCCATTTGAGGACTTGATCCCAAACCTCATCCTCGGCCATGTCCAAATCATCACGTTTAAGTATTGGTAATATCAAAGATTCATCGACCTTTAGGAAATCAGGAGATTTAAATAATAATTCAGGATCCGAAGAAATTGTAGCTAATATAAATTCTTGTAAAATAGAACAAGAATCATGCGATAATGTTGCCTGATAGACCTTTAAGATATAAGAATGTAACCATTCTGATTTTGTTTCTATTAAATGATCTTGAATGAAATCCAATAGATCTGTGAGTAATAATTCATCGGCAGCTGCTAAGATTTCTAGCACCTCCATTATATCTCTATCATTCAAAGTAATCGTTCCACTATAGATATAACTTTAAAAAATTTATATTTGTTAATATATGTTAATATAATTTTATTCATTTTAGATTGAGTAAAACTTACTTGAGAATGATTTCGAAAACCTTTGGAGTAACATTAGGTTGTCGTAAAATGCTAGAATCGCCTTCTTTCTTGGCCCATTGTTTGGATAAAGCAGTTTTATAGTAACTACACCTAGCCCTTAAGATCAACGAATGAGCCTGAAACGTTTTCACGTTTTCGCCTTTTCCGACATGAATTATCACATTATATTCATCGCTATCGTTTAATAAGTTTATAATTTCTTGGGAGAATACAGACAGTAATTTAATGGACATTTTTTTGAACTATTATTTGACTATTGTTTGACTATTGTTGATCGGTTTCTTTTTTTTCTTTTTCGGTGAAAGTCAAAAATTAGCTATATATCAAGAAATATATTGAATATATTGAATATATTGGTACGTAAATTTATATATACAGTATAACATATATTTACTAACACTGAGGTATTTAATACACTATTCACATGTAATTTGATAACCTATTTCAAATAATCAAAATGATATATGTACATGAATGCGATAATTCAAAGTAATTTCGTTTATGATGAAACAAGGAAAGGAAAGAAGGCACCCTTTTTTGTTTTATTGGTTCGAATATTTATATCTTTCATAGGTTTTACGAGCTATTTTTGCATGCCTCAATGTTTATTAATATATATGTCTGTAATGCATATTGATAACTAAGAATATATCAGCTAAAAAAGCCAAATTATTATACATTAAGTATATGCTCCTGGTAATAAATAAAGTTTCACCACCCGAGGATAATAAATTAAATATCAACTTAATGTAACCGTTTATCACAAATAAAGAATGACCGACCATAAGGTCGTACAGACATGCTTATGTTAGAATACGAAAGAATTAATTTATCGTTACACGATTAGATTTAACAAATCTCTTAAATACAAGATCAATCTTTATTTCATCCCATGATAAAGCGATCTCTACTACATACTATGTACTGCATGATTCACAATTCTCCCTATGACAACTTAAGACAATTTATCTACAAGCAGAAATATTGTTGCCGTTTGTACTTGGGACATGTGATATTCGGAATTTTTAAATTCTACCATTTTGGTAGCAAGATAAAGTTTTTTTTCCCGTAAAGTACGGACATACGTACGGACGTACGTTTGTAGATATCAGATATTCTATCTGCTATATCATTGATGTAATTACGCATATCAATATCTTAATGATGAAAAAATGGAGAGATCTAAACCCATGCTTAAATCAGTTCCTTGAAGGGAAATTATCATTTCTCTTTTGGCATTATTAACTTACGTAATTCGGCTTCCATATCAATATCGATATCGATATGTACAGTATAAGAAATTCATTATCGTACAATGATAAATATTTTTGATATTATTTCCGTTTATATGGTAAAATAGGTTTACCGGTCAATCGGGTTTACCGGTTTATTTCTCCCGAAGTAGGAAAACAAATGTATGAATTTGTTACTTTACAATTAGTTTCAAATATTATTAATTTCAAAGATTAAAAATTGTCCTTTTCGAAATGAGCTGTCACAAAATAAGAATTTAAACATCAAACTGTACTTATCATGTGTAACATTTGGAATCATTACATAATTTGTTTAACGTAACGGCAATGTATAATTAGGTACGTACGTACGTACCTAACAAACCAGAAACATGGAGTGCATTTTGTGTCAGTTTATATTACTATGCTTTAGTATTCATCGAATATAATTACATAGTTCTTGCGTAATACCAGGATGAACTATGTTATTACATGACTGATGGTCGGTGTTCTGGTCGTTTCGGTATCACGTAGACTATCATTTGAAAAAGACAACCAAAGATCGCAGAGTATAAATTATTTTTATTCATGTCCAATGTCCAAGAATGTCCACAGTATATTCAAGCTTCAAAAAATTTATATATTAATTTAAAAAAAATATGATTATATATTTTTTATTTTTATTTAGAAAGTTAAAATAGGTTAGCCTAATTAAATTTTTAGTAATTCATATTTTATTTATTTGTCCAGAAATGTTCAAAAATGTCCAAAATCATGTCCACAACTGTCCCACGACAATAATAATTATACTATCTACAGATAGTTAAAGTACTATACTTTATGTTAGCGTGTTGGAATTATAGTTTGTATAGGTTTATATGGAATAGTTCAAGTGTTAGTCTAAAGAGACTAATCAATTATTATACGCGCGAGTATAATAAACGTTTATTATCATATGTTGCTAAATTTGTTAATCAGCCCAACGAAGCAAAACAATCAAAAAAAGAGAAATATCAAAAACGGTAATCTAAACCCACCTTTGATGTATTAACAAAAAATGTCAGGGAGGCAATTTTATTTATATAAACACCTCTAACTCTAATTCGAAATGACTCTAACCCTAATGTTAATGAAAAACGTCATCTGCTCCGCTTTAAGAACCCCAAATATAGTACGCATATATATACAAGGTACTCACGGGTATTAATAATAGTTATATCCTTGACAGTTTGAAATAAATTTCTGCTTATACACATAGTGTCCAGAGAGTCCTATGTAAAGTAGTATAGGCAGATTAACAAATTTAGCAACATATGATAATAAACGTTTATTATACTCGCGCGTATAATAATTGATTAGTCTCTTTAGACTAACACTTGAACTATTCCATATAAACCTATACAAACTATAATTCCAACACGCTAACATAAAGTATAGTACTTTAACTATCTGTAGATAGTATAATTATTATTGTCGTGGGACAGTTGTGGACATGATTTTGGACATTTTTGAACATTTCTGGACAAATAAATAAAATATGAATTACTAAAAATTTAATTAGGCTAACCTATTTTAACTTTCTAAATAAAAATAAAAAATATATAATCATATTTTTTTTAAATTAATATATAAATTTTTTGAAGCTTGAATATACTGTGGACATTCTTGGACATTGGACATGAATAAAAATAATTTATACTCTGCGATCTTTGGTTGTCTTTTTCAAATGATAGTCTACGTGATACCGAAACGACCAGAACACCGACCATCAGTCATGTAATAACATAGTTCATCCTGGTATTACGCAAGAACTATGTAATTATATTCGATGAATACTAAAGCATAGTAATATAAACTGACACAAAATGCACTCCATGTTTCTGGTTTGTTAGGTACGTACGTACGTACCTAATTATACATTGCCGTTACGTTAAACAAATTATGTAATGATTCCAAATGTTACACATGATAAGTACAGTTTGATGTTTAAATTCTTATTTTGTGACAGCTCATTTCGAAAAGGACAATTTTTAATCTTTGAAATTAATAATATTTGAAACTAATTGTAAAGTAACAAATTCATACATTTGTTTTCCTACTTCGGGAGAAATAAACCGGTAAACCCGATTGACCGGTAAACCTATTTTACCATATAAACGGAAATAATATCAAAAATATTTATCATTGTACGATAATGAATTTCTTATACTGTACATATCGATATCGATATTGATATGGAAGCCGAATTACGTAAGTTAATAATGCCAAAAGAGAAATGATAATTTCCCTTCAAGGAACTGATTTAAGCATGGGTTTAGATCTCTCCATTTTTTCATCATTAAGATATTGATATGCGTAATTACATCAATGATATAGCAGATAGAATATCTGATATCTACAAACGTACGTCCGTACGTATGTCCGTACTTTACGGGAAAAAAAACTTTATCTTGCTACCAAAATGGTAGAATTTAAAAATTCCGAATATCACATGTCCCAAGTACAAACGGCAACAATATTTCTGCTTGTAGATAAATTGTCTTAAGTTGTCATAGGGAGAATTGTGAATCATGCAGTACATAGTATGTAGTAGAGATCGCTTTATCATGGGATGAAATAAAGATTGATCTTGTATTTAAGAGATTTGTTAAATCTAATCGTGTAACGATAAATTAATTCTTTCGTATTCTAACATAAGCATGTCTGTACGACCTTATGGTCGGTCATTCTTTATTTGTGATAAACGGTTACATTAAGTTGATATTTAATTTATTATCCTCGGGTGGTGAAACTTTATTTATTACCAGGAGCATATACTTAATGTATAATAATTTGGCTTTTTTAGCTGATATATTCTTAGTTATCAATATGCATTACAGACATATATATTAATAAACATTGAGGCATGCAAAAATAGCTCGTAAAACCTATGAAAGATATAAATATTCGAACCAATAAAACAAAAAAGGGTGCCTTCTTTCCTTTCCTTGTTTCATCATAAACGAAATTACTTTGAATTATCGCATTCATGTACATATATCATTTTGATTATTTGAAATAGGTTATCAAATTACATGTGAATAGTGTATTAAATACCTCAGTGTTAGTAAATATATGTTATACTGTATATATAAATTTACGTACCAATATATTCAATATATTCAATATATTTCTTGATATATAGCTAATTTTTGACTTTCACCGAAAAAGAAAAAAAAGAAACCGATCAACAATAGTCAAACAATAGTCAAATAATAGTTCAAAAAAATGTCCATTAAATTACTGTCTGTATTCTCCCAAGAAATTATAAACTTATTAAACGATAGCGATGAATATAATGTGATAATTCATGTCGGAAAAGGCGAAAACGTGAAAACGTTTCAGGCTCATTCGTTGATCTTAAGGGCTAGGTGTAGTTACTATAAAACTGCTTTATCCAAACAATGGGCCAAGAAAGAAGGCGATTCTAGCATTTTACGACAACCTAATGTTACTCCAAAGGTTTTCGAAATCATTCTCAAGTAAGTTTTACTCAATCTAAAATGAATAAAATTATATTAACATATATTAACAAATATAAATTTTTTAAAGTTATATCTATAGTGGAACGATTACTTTGAATGATAGAGATATAATGGAGGTGCTAGAAATCTTAGCAGCTGCCGATGAATTATTACTCACAGATCTATTGGATTTCATTCAAGATCATTTAATAGAAACAAAATCAGAATGGTTACATTCTTATATCTTAAAGGTCTATCAGGCAACATTATCGCATGATTCTTGTTCTATTTTACAAGAATTTATATTAGCTACAATTTCTTCGGATCCTGAATTATTATTTAAATCTCCTGATTTCCTAAAGGTCGATGAATCTTTGATATTACCAATACTTAAACGTGATGATTTGGACATGGCCGAGGATGAGGTTTGGGATCAAGTCCTCAAATGGGGAATAGCTCAAATTAATCCAAAGTTACAATTTACAAACATTCGTGATTGGTCTTCTGATGACTTTGCTGCCTTAGCTACAACACTTTCCGAATGTTTACCATTGATTAGATTTTTTCAAATGTCTGGTAGTGATCTCTATGATAAAGTTTGGCCATTTAGAGCAATTCTACCTCTGGAATTAGAAGATGATATAGTAAGATGTCATTTGAAAGTTGGTAGTCGTCCTACTTTCGGTACAAATGCCCCAAGAGGAAATTCGGTTTTAATAGCTCATCAACAAATGGCAAAAATTGCTGATTGGATTGATAAGAATGACATTTCTACTTGTATCGGTACTGACATTCCTTATAAATTTAAATTATTAATTCGTGGAACTCGTGATGGTTTCGATTCTCAAACATTTCATCAAAGATGCGATAATCAAGGTCCTACCTTTGTTGTAATGAAGATTGCCACTTCTTCTGAAATAATTGGTGGTTATAATCCTATCAGATGGCAAACTGGTTCTGGACATTTGGAAACGAGAGATAGTTTTCTATTTTCGTTTGGAAATAGAAATCGATTAGAAGATGCTAAAATTAGTAGAGTTAGCAGGTATAACTATGCTATCACCATGAAGGACGAAAGTTATGGTCCTTGCTTTGGGGATAAAGATCTTTGGATGCAAGGTGACTTTAGTCAACCTGATAGTTGCAGTTCTAAAGAAGACGATTATGAGACTTGGATCACAAAATATCGAAAATTCTCCGTTTCTGAATATGAAGTCTTTAAAATCATTAAGAAATAATTCTATTTAGTTCTCTGATTACTCTGATTACTCTGATTACTTTTTTTTTTTTTTTTTTAACATCTCATGTTATTGTACAGTATTTTTTATTTTTGTGTTCTTTTCGTATATGTTTTTTTCTTTGATTTTACATATCTTTCTCTTTTTTTTGTTTTTTATTTTTCTTTTATATCTTATATTTTTTTCTTTGATTTAAAATAAATAGTATTACTTACCACGATGTTTGTCGTGTGTATATTTTTTTTTCTATGATGTGTATAAATTACGATTTATCATTTTATATTGTCAATGATCAAGTGTCTCGTAATTGATAAATAAATAATGTATCTTATTAAATAATATTTATTTTTTTTTATTGCGATAATTCTTTTTCATATAGCATATTAATTAAATAATGTTTTTTTTTGCCATATTATTGTGGAAATTATAAAAAAAAGTCGCTTGTATGTCTGTATGTCTATCTAACAGAACCGTTTATCTATTAACGTTTTAACACTATTAATTATACATTTGTTCATAACGAAAAAGTTAATTCTATGGCTTTACTTCCCTCAACAAATGTGTTCATATTATTATTGTTACTTCTACTTTTAGATACACTATCTTTTAAAACTACACTCGTTATTCCTCGTTTTTATTCATCGAAACCCACGTTTTTGGTTCATGCCCACCAACTTGAAAGGAATCCACAAAAACGAGATTTAAATTTAGATGTTGATGCTAATGCTATTAGATATATTTATAATAAGAAGAGAAACTCTATTCCGAAAGGTGTTAAACGGAATGATGAGAAAAGACAATCTCCAATTTCCGCATCTGCTCACGGTGATGCTAACTTTGAATTCAGTTATGCCCCACATTGAATTCGCAATGGAATTTTCGGGAGCTTTTATACGCTGAAGTTGATGCGGTTTCTGATGTTGGTTAAATATCCTTTTTGGTGGTAATTAACATAAAATAATCTAGTTTTTGTGAAATATACCTGTATCTTTGATTGTAAAGTTTTTAACCTAAAGTATTTGATATTGTATACAGTATCTTTTTATATTCATTCATAATACTTAATCCTTTTTTGTACTATCATTATATAATTATTATACTGTATTTGCGCGTTCCATACATATATTGTTATCCTATGTAACAATAAGATGAACTAGAGTTTAGAACTTGGTTTTTATTTTTCATATATTAATTGATTAAATTTTTTTCTAACGCTAAACGTTTAACCGTTTAGCATTAAAATAATTCGGCCCGGAATTATGGAACAATTTTTAAGCGGTTAAACGGTTTCTTACCGTAATAACGCCCAGGGGTGTAATTTCAATTTTTGGCCTAAATTAAGCTTAATTCTGGCTAAAATCTAAAATAAAGCCCCTGGGCGTTATTTCGGATTTATACGGTAACCAATTTTGTCTATATAACGATAAATTTCTATACGTATAATAAAAAACACGAATGTATGTTAGTATCAGATTTGGGGTTCTGAAAACCCGCTGTAAACGGCAGAATTACCCAGAGTACGAATAAAAAAAAAAAAAAAAAAAACGTAATTATGACAGAAGCGATTAGCAATTATGGAAGCTGGAGCTCTTTCCAGCAGTAACATTCAACAACCTTTCCACCATGATGATCCGATTTTTACAATACTTTTATTAAAAGCCCGGGTAGATTATCTTCTCTATATAGAGATTGGAACCGGTTGTAAATTCAAAACCGAATTGTATTTGCATGTATTTGAAAATCAGTTAATATTTAAGCTAAACCGGTTGAATTTAAACCGAATTTAATCGAGTTATGTGCAATGCATATTATTAGTTAATTCTAATTGGTCAAAAGGAAAAAAGTTTAAATTAAAGTTACTTTTGCTACTCTTTTTATGATATACAGAAAGCAAAACCAAATTTCAGTTTTAAACCCAATTTATTTAGTTTTATAACCGAATTATAACATTACAAAACCGATTTACAGCTGTTATAAATTTTGGGACATCTGGTTCGATAAGTTATTGATTTTGGCATGATCAATGCAACGTTTATTATTTACGTAGTAGATAGTCTAACAGTTAAGTACTTGAACCCTTGTTATTGGTCATGTTATTAATGATAATCGCTGATTTATTCACAGCGGATGCTACATCATAACGGTGGTCCCTGGCCACTGTTATATCTCAGCATCCTAGTGAATAATCAGTTATCATCAACATGACCAATAAAGCCAGTTACATACGTACGTATCTACGTATCAGGTATATATCAGTCGATCGGGATGTCACGCAGATCAGGTGAATAAATTTTTTACTATGAAATTTGAGTGATCGACACTCATATAAAATTCTCAATTTTCATAGCAAATTACAACGGTAGACCATTTTCAATCGTCGTTTTCAGGGGTTTCCTAAAAGGAAGCTGCATTCTGAACAACGTAATATGATTCGGCACAACAAAAACTTTAGTATTCTTATGTATAAAGTAGGCAAAATAATAAACTCGAAAAGAATCATGTCTTCAAAGATG